GGATAAAAAGACCTGTTTGAAAAAAACTAGGAATAAAGACAGAAGATAATGATGATGCAAAATAACAAAATGAGAAGGACAGTCGATAAAAGAAGAAAGAATTAGAAAGAGGATGTTGTGTACAGCTACGAATAACTTGTCGTACAGAATACCTTTAATATGTATATATCAAACTGAACCAGAATTGTAAAGTTGATAAAAACCTTAGGCAATTCAAATCGATCTTTTATTAAGAAATAACTAAGTCATACGAGAGAAATCATCAACAAAGAAGACAAAATACTAAACATCAAAAATACTTTTGACTCTTGCAAGACTTTAAATGTGTGTGAATAATATGAAATGGACTGGACTGATGACTTGATGAACTATCGGGAAAAGAACTATGGTAATGCTTACCTAATTGACAAACCTCACATACTAACACAGAAGAAGAACTCAAACTAGGGATAACTGACGCAACTTTTGCAAGGAGAGATGACCTAGTTGAAAGTGTCACTGAAGGGGAGACAATATAGCATTCAAGACAGGAACAGAATCACTAGGATCTAGTATAGGACTCACAAATCATAGGTTGAAGGAAAAATTAGGAATAAACAAACCAGAGGTTAATGGCATAGTTTGAGTAGAAAGAAAATCGTCAGTCCCATGTACATGTCGAGAGGAGCCATCAGCTAACACAATACATAAATTAGATGAATATAATTAGAGAATAGGGATGAAATATCATATATATGAGCAGTAACTCTTAAATCAATGATCCAAGTGAATAAAGAAGGTTTATCAACCACACATGTTGAGTTACCTCCCTTGGCAAAACTAACAGTAAGACTAAACAAATGTAAAGAAAGTGAAGACAACTTGTGAATGAGTTGATTAAGCTGGTAAGAAAGATCATCATGAGAGCTAGAACCCGATGCAACTAGACCATTGGTAGAAGGCTAATGTACTATTGAACTCAAAGAGTCACCAGAAGCGTGATTACCATGTGTTGATCTCCTATACTTAGCCCAGTATTTTGAAAAGCTCGTCTAGGCACTCGCCTAGGCGAGAAGCAAAGTGGAGTGAAGGTATCTCGCCTTGAACACCCCGACGAAGCGAATGTGACTAAAGTGAGAAAAATGAGCACCTTACACTTAAGCGAAAGGCGAAAAAGCGAACGCCTTAGTCATGCAAAGCGAAATAGTCTTTTATTTTTATTGTGGACCGTTGAATTATTTTATTTTTATTGTAGACCGTTAGATTGGGGCAATTGAAAAAAAAATTATAAAATGCCAATACATCCAATTACCCCCATATCCCATAAATATAAAACCTAAACTCTAATTTTCAGGATTAGACCTTCGTTGTTGCTGCTCCTTCCTCTCTGGTTAGGCAATCGCTGCTACTGCTCCTTCCTCTCGTCAGGCGATCGACTGCTGTGCTATTCCTTACTCGCTGGTCAGAGACGAAGACTGCTGCTTCTCCTTCCTCGCTGGTTCAGGTTTGTCTCCTCTCTTTTTCTTTTCACTTCTGTATCTCTTCTTCCTCTCTAGTTCTTTTTTTTTCTGCTTCTTTTTGGTTCTAATTCTGTTTTTTTTTTCTGCTTCTGCTTTCTATTTTTTTTTTCTGCTACTATTTCTTTTTTTTTTTTTTTTCTGGTTCTCCTTTCTGTTTCTTCTTCTTTCGGGTTCTTCTTTCTGCTGTTTCTTCTTCGTTTTTTTTTCTCGTTTTTTTTGTTTCTACTTTATTGCTTCTATTTTTTTTGCTTTCTATTTTTTTTTTGCTTATTCTTTGATAATGAATGTTGTTTGTTTGTAAGTCTGATTTTTCAGCTAATGATTCTGATTTTAATGCTGCTGCTTCTTTAATGTTTGAATAGTTGATTTTAATGTTGTTGTTTCTTCTAAATGCCGTAATGCTTGAATAACTGATTTTAATGTTGCTGCTTCTTTTGAATGCTGTAATATTTCTTTAATGTTTGAATAATTGATTTTAATGTTGTTGCTTCTTCTGAATGTTGTAATGCTTAAATAGCTGATTTTAATGCTACTGCTTCTTCTAAATGTTGTAATATTTCTTTAATGTTTGAATAGCTGATTTTGCTGGTAGTGTTGTAATGCTGAATGCTAATAGTGCTAGTTTTGCTGAATGCTAATGTGCTATTTTTTTTGCTAATAGTGCTGATATGACTGTTATTAAGATTTGAAATATTATTAGTGTTTGTTTTAATTTAAATGTTTATGGTTTTACTTGCATTTAAATATTTAGTATATATAAAATTAAAACTTAGATATTTAGAATTAATTAAACTAAAATATTTTTTTTTTTTTTAACTACTCGTTTCGCTTTGGTAAAGTGTTTCGCTTCGCTTCTCGCCTAGGCTTTAGGAGCCTTGATCGCTTCGGTTCGCTTTACGCCTTAAATAACACTGACTTAGCCCAATAATAATCTTCAGTATGTCATATGCTACCACAATAAAAACACTTCCACTTAGAACGATTACCATCATGTTCACCACTAAGACCACCATTCGAAGTCAACATAGAGAAACCCATAATTAATTATGCTTGGTCGAATTCACAAACAACCCAATAATCCACCAAGAATGAACAATCACTCAAAATCAAACCACAATCAGCCCTAAATAGAACCAACAACTCAAATAACAATCAACAGGCTAGGAAGTACGGAGAAGTGACACTTCATTAAGATTAGAGTGTCGGTATTAGACATGCTAACGCTCGGACACGTGTTGGGCATACAAAAATAAGTGTCTGATTTTTTTTCTTATTAATTTTTTTAAGGACACGTTAAGAACACGGCTGACACGTTGGGGGACACATTTTAAGATTTCTTTTTAATTTTTTGAAAACTTTTCATATCACTTCATAATTAAGAATTATTTTTGTAATTTTAAAGAGATATAAGTCAAAGTCATAATATAAAAGATGTTATAATCATTATATTGAATATAGGACATGAATGTAATATAATTTTGGATATGAATACGAACTTATATACAGATGGAATAAACTTTTAATATGAAAGTAATGTGAGAAAAAATAGGATTACAAAATTATGACTTTTTGAAATCAATGAAAATTAGTGTTGCAAATGGAATATTTAGAAAGTTGTAGTAGTCATTAACTGTTGGATCATAGATGTTAATATTGAATGTGTATCGGTATATCTTATATTATACTTTTTATGCATTGATATCATTATGTAATTTTTAAAATTAGTGAAATGATAAATTAAAAGATTATTATGATAATATTTTTAGTTTCACATGATAATATATAGTATATATTTATACATATAAATATATATTTATTTAACGTATCGCTAACATGTCTGTATCTTTTTTTTTTTTTTTTTAATTTCATATGAGTATGTCATATCGTATCCGTATTAGTACCCGTGTCTATACATCTTAGTCAACACGAACTGAACAGATGTTGAATTGACCAGAAAAGAGCTCAATAGGATCTAGAAAGGGCTGAAACTAAAGAAACAACCTCCAAACTACTAAATCAGGAGAGAATAAGTAGTACTGGGGCTGATATCTACTGAACCGATGCTGGAAACCCTTTAACTAGTCTGAACTAGTCCAAAATACACTAACCCGCACTGGTTGATCCTGAACCGGTGTTGGAAAATCCTGAACTAGACTGTTTTTCACTGAATCAGTGTTGACAAACCTGGAAACAAATTGGTTGGGTCTGAACCAGTGCTAAAAAAAATCGGGGAATAACTCGGCCCAATAAGAAAAGGAGAAGAAGGTGAATTGGATGAGGAATTCAACTGAACCAGGTTGAACCATGTTGAACCAAACAAAACATGTCAGGTTGAGGGAGAACTAGACTGATGTAGATGGCCAAGCCGTTGGACCTGTCAGATTTGGGCTCCGAACAAAAATACCAGTAATTGGGCTTCACTTAAAAGAGAACGTGGGCTGGAGTTGGACCAAAAGAAAAAATAAGTTGGACTTCAGTTAAATCAGTGGGCTGGAGCTTAATAGGCTTAGTAAACCCAAAGAACCGTTCCAAGTCTTCTAACCCGAGATACCCATTGTCTTCTTCATTGAACTGAGGAACAGAATCCTAGCATCTATTGTGTTGGAAAAGGAGCGATGCTGGCGACTTTGACTGATTTCGATGAGTGCAACTAGTGTTGTGAAAAGCGAGCCTATGTGAGAAGCGAAACAAAGCGAAGAGAAGCAAGCCTTGATCACCTTAAACAGCCAAGGCGAAGCAAGGTTAAGTAGAGCGATGAAACAGCGAGCCTAAGAGACGAAACGAAGAAGCGACCCAGATGAAAAAAGTGAACGCCTGGCTGCAATTTTTTTTATTTTCTCCTCCCCCTCCCCCTCCTTCATCCTTAACATCAACTAAACTCTAGCAGAGATGATGCTATATATGTATATGTATATTTATAAAATAAATTGATTGATTCATCTGACAGTATCATATGGTAATTTATCTTGTTATGATTAGATGATGTTGAATGTTTATGGTAAATGCTCCCATTAATCAAATTGGCTTGGTTAATCAAATTGATTAATCAATTTGTTATATGCTCTATTTGTTTAATCAATTTCTGAGTGCTATGTTTAGTGATTGATATTAATCAATCACGGTGGCAGTCGAACCCACATTTGTTAACTTTCCATTTAGATGATGTGATTGTGTCAATTGATTATTTTTAGAATACAATAATGTTCAATATTTAATATATTGTCTATTTAAAATATGTAAATGTTTATTATTTTGGATGCATTTAAATATCTTGTATTTGTAAAATTAAAACTTAAATATTTAGAAGTAATCAAAGTATTAAACTAAAAATTTGTTTATTTTTTATATTTTTCGCTTTGGTTCGATGAAACAATTGTAACGCTTCTCGCTGAAGCCCTCGGGAGACCGGTTCGCTTTACGCCTTATATAACACTGAGTGAAACGACTAGCAAACACAACAAGAAGCACACCAAGGTTCGCTGATCAAAGCGAAATAACTGATCAATCCACTTGGGGCAAACTACCATCGAAGACACAACTGTGCACTGCACCTTCATCAACCACACAGAGAAGAAGCTCTGAAATCACTCCTTCAAAGCTTCATATTCAGACAACCACAACCACAAGTGGAAATGAAAAACAACTGTCCTGCTCTCAATGACGGAGAAAACAACCCAAGATAAAAAAAGGAAATAAAGGAGAAAAATAGAGATCAAGGGTAGAGGAAGAGAGAGAGTGTAAATAGATTGGTATGTAGGATGTGAAAATTCTATCACCTATTTATATTAGTTTGAATACATATTAGGAAAGTAGAAAATAGGAAACTTCCAAATAGGAAAATCTAATAACTCTAACAGAACTCAATCATTCTCTTTTAACAAATACTGAACTCCAGCAGCCCAGACTCCGTAAAAGCAGTCTTATTACTCATCAAGGTACTGTTCACAACAACTAGAATGGCCCTAGACCTAGAGCAGTCTCCTTTCTAGCCTTTTTCAATCCCAAAAGCCTAACCCCTTCTTACATGTTATTAAATCCAGCAGCCCTTGCAACGGAAACAAGCCTTATGCATCCTCCAAAAGACACCTCTTTTGGTTACCAATACAAACGTTGGTAAAAGATTTGTAGGAGTATGTGAGCCAATTTGTCCTGCATCCATAAGTGAGTAGCCAAGCACTGTTGCAACACCAAAAATCACAACCAGACTTCTTCCTTCTACCTAATCTATATTAGGACTTGAGAGAAATTTTTGTCCACTCTTCTAATGAAGTACTTTAGAGATTGCATGGAATTCTGCTTAACCATAAATAATATCATGACTTCAAAGGTCCCAATATGGATACAAGCAAAGCCATCAAATAGCTACAATGAAAAGCATAAAAAATTTTATATCAGGTCATGTGAAGTTTTACATACTACTTTGATGAAAAAATGGATCATCCAAATAACTTTCAACTTCTTTAGTTTGTAAGCCTGTGAGACCATCACAGCAAAGTGACACTAAAACAAGAATTACAAATGATTCATGGCAATTAGAGCATACCTTATTACCAATTGCACGCCCCAAACCACATGGGACTGCTGCAACATCAACATCCCCAAGATGTTCTCTAATATTGTTTCTGACCCTGAAACATGATTCTGTACTTATTAAAGATCAGATACTCATTCAAAAGAAAGTGGTAAACAACTTCTTCAATACAGGCCATCTCAACATCTCATACCAATAGAAACAGATATCTATCATTTTATATTGCACTCAAGAATACAAGTTGGTGGGCTTATTTGGAGAAATGGGAATAATAACCAAAGAAAATGTAAGTAACTAGAAGAAAAGAATAAAAGAAGAATTGAGCTCACTTATTGTAGTCCTACATGCCAAAAGAAGAGCTTATTTATTGAAATACTATGAGCAGAATGGACTCATTTGATATGCAAGTGCCAAATTATGAACTTTGATTTCCAAAATTCAAACAGTAAATGAGAACCACACCTGACATAAGTTCCACTGGTAATACTCACCACACAGCAATGAGCAAGCCTGCAAGCTGCCTGGAACCAACTCGTTCAAAAGTTGATCCTTCATCCAAGGTTTTCCCGATCATATCTAACCACCACTGCCCAACAGAACTCCCCTCCAGACCCACCTGAATTTAGACAAAAAAATGTATTTATATATAAAAAATGATAGGATCCAGTAACCCAATAAAAGAAAGTATATACATGAAGCATTTGGGAGTCATAGCAAGATACTTCGTAATGAAAATAACAAAAGTAGGAACAAAAAAAAACATCACATGGAAACTAATCGATTCTCCCCTCAAAATCAAGAGTAGCATTATGCCACATAGATGCACCCAAACAGGAGAATCATCTTTTTGGACACTGCAGAATAAAGGTATGGCTATGGCCTATTGGAAAAGGCTAGGCAATTCTACTCGGGCACCAATATGGTTCGTCCAAAAAAAAAAGAAACACATTTGGATGCACTATGAATTCAAACAATAGGCTTTTAATATCATCATAACTCATACATCACATGGAGGTTTAGGAATGACTGCCTGTTCATAAAGGATATACAATGTCCAATGACGTGGTTATACCCCATCTATACCGAAGAACTTGAACACTCTTCAATGGTATTGTTCACCATGTCATATTTTGAAAATGCAATGCTGTACAAAACATGTTTATATCATCATCTAGAAAAAGGGTGTTAAGATCATATTTGTAATTCGTTAATTTTGTGAAATCATTTTATAAATATCAACCTATTCCATAGTCATGATGCTACAACATTGAAAATCCGAAAGCGTCAATAAAATGGAGGAGATTGTTCTTCAAGTTACACGCATCTTCTTGCTTAGTACAAAGGTAGTGACCTAAAGACGTTGGCACCCATGGTTTAATTCATTAGACTTGGGTGATTGACCTGTTAATGACTGCTAGGTGATTTTGAAAAAAAGTTTTTCTAAACCTTAAATGTGTTTTGAAAACATAGATTTAAATCATTAATCGGACCCCACTTAAGAATACCCTTTACTGCTTCACTCTTGGGCCACTCAAGTAGTCTTGAGACAACTCGAGTGCTCCTGAGGTCACTTGAGCGGTTCCTGCTCTACTACTATAGTTTGAATCCTTTTTTCATTACAGCAGTCACCACCTTCCCACCACTCTCCCACTGCTCAAGCGGTTGTCTACGAATTTTGGTTGACTTCATCTCCAAGACAAACCCTATTCCAAGCCTATAAATAGAGGGTGTTTTTCCTATGCTAGGGTAAGCCTCTATGTGCTAGAAAATACCAAAACCTTTCTAGAATGCTTCAAGAACAACCTTAAATCCCTAAGTCTAAAAAGGCTAACCATTTTGATTCTTCCATTCAACATCACCCATTGAAAAAAAAAAGGTCTTGATTGGTGTCAACCAAAACCACTTGAAAAAATGTGTATTCCAAAAGTCTTGGGTGTGAAGACTTAAAGATTGGTCAAGACCTAAACGAACCATTTGACAGAGAGTTTAAGTGAAGCTATCCATAAAATCAATGGGTGTATATAGTGGAGAGGACTATTAAAAGAAAGGAACATCTAACCAAGGGAAGTGGTTGAGGTATAAGTCTCAAATACTTGTAGACTAACCATGAAATAGTAGATTAGACTTTTGTGAACCCCGAGTAGTTTTCCACAGTTTTTCCTAAGAAGGATTTCCGCGTCACCAATTACTTGTCCCTTTATTACTTTATTTGCTTATACACTTGCAATTGATTCACACACACACCGTGTGTTTAATGAATTGATTGTTAATTGTTTATCTTTCAAGTCATTAAATAGTAATTTTGGTGATTATGGCATTGGATGAGATCGTCCTTGTGAAATTGAGTGTTAATCTTTCAATTGACTAATTCCTACAACAATTCACATGACGTGTTTGGATTGGTCATGTTAAAAGGGGTTCTAGGGGCTAACTAATAAATTCACTTTGAATTTGGTAATTGTGAGAGATTTAGGTTGAAATTGGTGTTATTCCAAGCCGAATTGGAATTAGCCTATTCAAAACCCCCCCTTCCCTAGGTCTAGTGTGCGATTTCTCATGTATTTTCGAGTGGAAAGATCCTATACATGAAGTGTGAACTTTTTCTTACAAAAGGCAAAAGGCAACTGGAACACTACCAATGTCCTACGGTTTTTCACTGAAAATCCATTTCATGTGCACAAAAAACGAAACACACCACTAAAATACAATTTCAGTGCACTGCTCAAGGACAAACTTTCTGGCTGAAGCCCTAACTTTTTAATCGATTGACAGGTGCAGCCAAAAAGTCGCTCGGCAATCTTAAATAGGTGAAAAAGTTCATTTTGAAAATGTGGAAAATATCATCTCATCATTGATCATGGATTCTTTAGTCAACTTTCACAATATAATGTGCTTATAGTTTCTGTCACCACAAAATTATACAACCCAATGGCGTGGTTCACCTCTACTTACATTTATTTGCTCAACATATGTAACGTTGAGTCAATATTATGATACAGTCGGTTTCTTAGAAACGTACAAAATTAAATCTTTGACAATAGTATTTTCTTTATGATTACGAATTCATGCAACATCCATTTCCAACTTCAATATAATCCTATGAAAATCAGGTCTATTTATTCTTTGAAAACTAGTGTTAGAAAACATTAACTTAATAAAAGTTGCTTACACAGTGATAATCCCAACAGACAAACCAAAAACATTGAGCAACAAAAGTCCAGAATATCGTGCCAAGCGGTGCCACTTTTTTTTGGGGGGAGGGGTAGAGAGGGGGGGAAATCAAGATGTCTTACAGTTTCTTTAGCAGCAGACATTGCAAGAAAACCTGCACCCATTTCTACTTCCTGCAACCCAACAACAACAATGCCAACATCTGTGGCTGCAGAAGCTAGCCAGAATATAAGTGAATCAGGAGTGGCCCTTCCTTGTCCCACATTCCAAGTACCAGCCAATATCTTCAAATTTTCTAGCCTAGTATAGAGAAATTCTTTGGCAGCTAACTCTGAACATAATATGTTATCCAGAAGTCCAGGAGATACAATACTCCATCCACGTATACCACCATGATTGGCTAACGTGAAAACATAACCATCCCCCACAGCCATCCCTATTACAGGACTATTGTGAGCCACCCATTCTCCAAGCAAATTACCATCAAGATCCAGTACCTCGACAGTGCCACTCGCATACCCTACCCATATTCGTGAACCAAATGTACACAAGCAATGAACAGCAAAAGAATGGTACTGGAAATCTTGCAAACGGTTGCCATTTCCATCCCACTGCACAAGTAATCCATTTGCACAACCAACCCAGGTCATTCCATCAATTGTGGTGATCAATGCTTCAGTTCTGCGATTATCATCTCCAAAGGCTCCCTTTGCTGCAACTCGACGAACAGCATCAGCTGCTCCCATTATAGCATTACGTGAGCGCTGAAAGAAACTGAAGGAACTTTGTGGCTTATCCTTCTTTGAACCAGACATAAACTTCATCCCCAGCTCATCATCCAGTGTGGAATCCTGTCCCACTAACATGCTTTCAATCTGACCGTCTATATTGAAAACTTTCAACAACTCCCTTGTACGAGCATCCCTGGAGAATAGAAACTCATGGTGATTCAAGCCCAGGTATAAAACAAAAATGTCAGCACAGGAAGATAACATGCAACCAACATGAGATTAGCAAATATTAACATTTTTATCAACTAAAAGTCAGAGGTTTCTTCTAAATTTTTTTTTTTTTTTTTTTTTTTGGGGGGGTAGGAACCATTATCTTGTTATGTTGTCCTGGGCATCTAGAAATGTATCATGTTCATGCAATGGCTTATGAGTGCGTTGGGATCAGGATAAATCTTATGATCATACATAAGACTGTCATATGGCTCATATCCATACGTGTGTTCACATGCATGCATTCATGAACTTATAGAATTGACTTCAGATTTGAATATCTAAATTAATATACTATGAAATTCCAACCCTGACAAAGACTATGATTTTTGTGAGGAACTTACATTCCTCTGACCTCCTTCAATTTGCAGGTAATGACACAAAAGGCCATCATGTTTTGGATAGCATTTTGACATACTGCAAATTATTTTTAGATTGTCAATAAGAGAAACATTCTCACAAAAACCGTGTCATGCCAGACAGAAATCATCAAAATCAATTGTGATGTTACACCTACAAAATTTGGTGACACTTTTGAATCCAAGACTAAAAACACTCCATGTTCTCCAACAAAAATTAAGTAGGACTCCAACAATTTTTTGATAGATAAATGGAATTTAGAGTTACCAGATTCTCCAATATGTAGTGAAATTTTATAATGTTTGAAGAGCAAGTTCTTGTTTTTTGCAATAAGATTTGTTAGCAGTTCCAGCTCCGTATCAAGGTCATAATCGATATAGTCACTAGGATCAATATTGTCATTACATGTAATTTTAAGTTGAAAGTTCCCATCATGAAGTCCTGAAAACAGAACTGAGCTCAAGATTGGAATTATAAATGTCAATGACTAAATGATGAAACATGGAACCAAGGCTGCCCTATGGTCAAGTTTGGTGAGCGAAAGCCATGATGAGACATCAAAGTGTCTGTTCACAGAAGGAGATAAAAAGTGAAAGTTCCATGCGGGCCCAGTTAATGGACAAATGGGTCCACACCGATGGTGTCACAATTAGATGCATTTGGTTGAATCCAATTCTAGCCTCTTGATTTGGAAAAGCAGATTTCAAAAACCAAGGGTGGTTTGGGGAATTTGATGCATGAGTGGCGTTTAGTACTAGGGAGAGGGGGGCGGAGTTGGGCCTGTCATATCAAAAAGGTCATAGAAAGAGAACCTGCCTCCTATTGCATTTGACATTCTGGGGCGGGGACGCACTCAATTCAACCGACTTTTGGATAACAAAAGAAGGCAAGTTTATCTGCTTTGATCAAATAAAAAGCCCAGTCAGCCACAAACTTGGGGCAGGTCATGCAACCTATATCCCGACCTTCACTTTTTGAGGCTTCCACTACCCACATTTCTATGTGTGCTTAGTGTGAGAATCACAAATTGTTTATTATAGCTTGATTAACCTTTGATTTGGAGTACAAGGTAGTTTACATAGTCCCTTGTGTGCTGGGAGTTTCAAGTTGGAAAGTTTCTATTTGGTGTTTTCTCATGCTTCTACATAAGCAAGTTCTGATAAAGACAATGAAATAATGAAGGGTCATCACACTATTTGGTCCCAGTTAATCAAGGGTTCTTGGAGGAATGGAACAATACAAAGTTAACTATTATTGGAATCATTTTTACAAAGTGTCTGCCCTCATATGCAAACCCACAACCTCAGGATTGTGAAACCGACACTTATCCCACCAACACTCATACCACCATGCAATATTAATGGAAAAAAATCCCGTCAGGTGAAACTCCTAGAAAGCCTCAAGACAAATCCTAAAATTTCTTACCTCGTCTTATTTTGTATAATCCCAACATTACAGAAATCGATTCATAACCACAGCCAGTCATTCGACCAACTCAAGGATCAAAATATCGTTTCGAAACGGTCGAAACATACGAAACGTTTCCGTTTTCAAGGAGATCGAAACGAATCAGTGATGGAATCGAAATTCTAAAACTTCGAGGAGTTCCATAATGTTTCGAACTGTTTTGTCATATTTCAATACATTTGTACAATTATTTTGAAATATTTTAACGTATTTTAAGATATTTTGGTACATTTTGACCAATTTTTTAAAAAAATAATTCTTACATATTTTTTTTTTTTCATTTTGTTTTCGAAACGGATCGAAACGTTTCCGTTTCCTAAGTGACCAAAACAATACACCAAAATGAAATTTTGATCATTGAACCAACCTATTACTTAATCCTAAAATCGTAAATCCTTGACTTCAAACGATAATCCTAATACACCTACCAGACTAATCTCCAAAGCCCTGGCTTTCTTCTTGGCTTCCAAAAAAACTTGGAATCAATGATCTGCTAGTTCGGACAAATCAGCCTTAAACTTCACTTATCCAAAAACTCTAATCATAAGTTCTCAACTACACATCCTAAAACTTGTTCCATTTTTACTACACGTATTTCTAATTTAAGAGTTCATCATTAAGACGATACGTCTCCAGCGGGATGATAAATATGGGCAGAAATAGGTTCCAGTTTTGAGGGAGACTGGGCAAATTCCAGGTTGGTCTCTATGGGTAAATTAGATTATGGTAAACCTTTAAAGCAATAGGATGATATAGGAAGCTTAAAAGAGCTTGTCACTGAAAAATTTAACAGAGAAAGAAGAAGAATGTAAACACCAATACCTCTCTACGAATTGCTAGGAGACCCACCCAGAAGAATTTAATGGAGTCCATGTGCAGAGAATAATTAACAATCGACATGTAATTTGTCTTTCTAACAAATCACCTATGTAGAGTCATAACTTGCACAAAATAACAATTTTTTTTTATAGGAAATAAATTTTATTGATTTGGAAATGTGACATCAAAGATTTGATAGGCTGGACAATATGTCCAACCAATAAAAGAACAAAAGCAACATGAACTGAAAAAACTGAAAGAGCATGAAACCCTCCAATCCACCAAAATATAAAAGAGAGGAACATCGGCAAAGTCCTTAGAGACAGAGGCCCACAACGAAGCCAAAAAGTAAATCCGATCCCATAATCCTTCAACTCCTCTTAGCTTCAAAAATTATAGAGTTCCTCCCCAACCAGTTAACCTAGGTTACTGCAAAAAATGCAAAATGTCAAAGGGTATCCTCTTTATTTTGCCTTCCAAATCCCTTGAATTCCTCCACTATCATGGAAGAGATGATTTCTGACCCACTATTGGCCAAACCACTTGGGCACTAGGTCCAATGTGAGTCGGATCGCTTAGCCATGCTTCATAATTGAAAAAACAAGCACTATGGAAAGATTTTCATCTTTGGACTGTTGGGGAGGGGGTTACTTCAATAGTTTGTACAAGTCTTTTTGTTTCACTAATGACTACTATTTCCAACTCAAACCTACTAAATGAAATAGTTTGAACCACAAAAACAAAGTGTTAGGTTAGTGTAAAAAAAATGTGATCAACATTCTCACTAGCAAATGCACACATCACACATCAATGTGGAGAAATACAAAGAAGTAGTCTTCTTCTCTGAAACACATCATTCATGTTAACCCTACCATGAGCTATGATCCATGCACAAACTTGCACTTTAGCCTTTCAAATCATCACAGATGAGAAAAACACGGGATATGAAGGATCATCAATTAGATTATCAAAAAAAATTACATGAGAAATCCCCTAAAACTCGAGATTCTAGTTCTTTTTATCACTCGATTCTTGACTCAAATTGAAATCATTAATCAAGGATAGAAGTAACACCAATTCCATAATATCCCCATCAACAAGATATGCCTATGAAACCCAAAATCCTAAGAAACTGATTGATGAGGATGGTGACACATTGATGCGATAGAGTGCCTATAAAAAAAAAAAATGAGAACACACAAGAGAAGGATGATGATTCAACCCAAGCATCCTCCTAAAATCAAACTATTACCTATCATGAATGCAACATTTTCAGAAAATCATGAAGGCCATTGAGAAATAAACTTCCATGGGTCGCGATACGTTTCCCATATATCCCATTAGCATCCAATCCATTGGATTGTAGTTCATACTTGTTCTTAGTAACCGAATACTATGGTGAATTTTATTCCAATGAAAATTTCTAAAACCATTCACCAACTAAAATTACATTTCTTTCTTTTAAATCCTACTGAAATGCACCTTTGGCTTTCGTTTTTGACACAACATCCCAATTCACCAAATGATCCTTCCTACCTTCATCACTTCCTTCCCATAAAAATCACTTATCATCTTCTCAAATTCTTATTACAATCTTCTCTGCTATCCTAAAAAGAGAGAAAATAAGTCAAAAAACTAGTCAAGACTAATTGAACCAAAGTTAATCGACACCCTCTACAAATATAAGCCAACTTCCACCCATCTAATTGTTTCCCCACCTTTCCCACAACAGGATTCCAAAATGCTAAAGATAAAGGACTCCTACCAAAACAAAGACCTAAATACTTTAAACGGTCATGCTCCCACACTACACGCCAATATCCCAGCCAATTAAGAAATTTTATTCTGAGAAGAATTTACACCCACAATTAAACTTTTCTCATTATTGACCCTTAGCCGTGACACCATTCCAAATACCTCCACTATCTTCTATAAATTATTAAAGTTTAATTCATCTCCTGTTAAGAAAAGAAAGTATCATCAACAAATTGTATGTGTGACATAGGAATTTTGTCCATTCCAATGATAAAACCCTCCACAAGGTCAAATCTTTCTCCTCTTCTCACTAAACCTACTTAACCCATTAGTCACTATTGTAAAGAGAAAAGGATAAAGGATCACCATATCTCAATCCTTTTGCGGCCTTAAATCTTCCCCTAGGCTTTCCATTAATCATAGCAGAAAATTTCATTAACTTCAAACATCCACTAATCCACCGATCCCCACCCCTTGCCAAATCCTTCTAAAACATGATTCATGAAACTCCAATCCACATGGTCATAGGCTTTTATAAAATCAATTTTAAAAACAACACCCTCTTGTCCCTAACATCTATAGTCTTCCACCACCTCGTTAGCCACCAACGACTCAACTAAGATTTGTCTTCCCTTAACAAAAAGCACCCTGCCAGTGTGAAAGTCTCACTAAGGACATCCTTCAACCTCAAAGATAGCACCTTTGCAATGATTTTATAAAGACTAGCCACAAGGCTAATTGGTCTAATTTTATAAAGGCTAGACACAATGACTTGTCCTACTTTGGAATAAGACACAAAAATGTAGCATTAGTTATTGCATTAATCATACCATTATGGAAGAATTCAACAAAATTCTCAACAAATCATTTTTAACCACCTCCAACAATCTCAAAACATTACCATAGTGAACCTATCCGGACAAGGTGTCTTATCCCAATCACACTCAAAAATAGCTTCTCTCACTTATTCTTTCTCAACAGGCCTTTCCAACCATCTAGCACTACTCTCTTCAACGGGACCCCATTCTAACCCCTCTATAGCCTTGGAGTCTTCTTAGATGAATATACCTTAACAAAGAACTCAACAATCTTAACATGTATCTCTGCTTCCTTTTTCACAATCACTTCATTGTCAAGCTCCAATTTACCAATGAAATTATTTTTCCTTCCCCTATTTGCCACTCTATGAAAGAGTTTTGAATTATTATCGCCCTCTTTTAATCAATTCACCCTTGTCTTTTGCCTCCAACTTCCTCCTCTTTAAACTCTACCTCCTCAAAACCATTTCTAAGATCTCACCTCTCTTTTTATCAAACTCTCATCTAATCTCCCACCATCCTCCATTTTATCAACCTCATCAATTCTCCCCATAATTAAGCACTTCATTATCCTCAAATCTACATATATCTCCCCATTCAAAATCTTCATTTTTTGTTTCACAACTTCCAGTTTTTTCATAAATTTGAATCCCTCCCAGCCTCAAAAATCTCCTTCCTCCCACCCTTCGCTAAACTTAACCATAAAACTATGACGATCTAGTCACATGTTTTCAAACTTGAAAGGACAAGGACCCCATCTGAGTGAAGAAGTATCAAGAGCAATAGAATAATGATTAGAAACTATCCTAAAAAGAGAACTCTATCTAACCCTTGAAAAACATTCCTCCCAGTTAATAGAAAAAAAAAACCTATCCAATCTATTATACCCTAGTTTTTTCCTAAAGTTTGACCAAGTAAAAGTGTCATTGCTAAAGGAGGATCTTTCAAATTTGCTTTCCTAGTAAAAGTGTCAAAATCCTTCATATTCCTCATAATTCACTCCAATTGAGTTTCTCTGAAGTATATTTAACCACATTGAAATCACCACCAATGCACCATCAAGCACTACACAGACCAACAACCTTGTCCTTTCCTTTTTCACAATCTCCTTCTATCCCTAGGACAACTTAGACCATACGCCATAGTTAACCATCACTCATTTCCTTTCATATTTTTTATTCTAACAGAAATTGAACATTCACCCTCTCTAGATTCCTCCGCATTAACGGACCTCTCATCCCACATTAACACTATTGCCCCTCCACCTCCCAACGAAAAACAAATAACTACTCCTATCCCTAGAAGCCACACACTTTTCATCAATCTTCTATCAACCACCTCCTTCTTGGACCCTTGCAGTATCACCACATCCAGGCTTCCTTCTAAATCAGCTCCTTTATAGAACTTATTTTCCTTTTTGACCCTACTCTTTTGGCATTCCAACTAATGTCACTACCCTTATCTTCCTTTCTGCACACCACACCATTATAATTGATGTCAGACTATAAATTCTTAAGTTTCCTCATCCCTCTTGGTTTCTCTCACTTTTCCTTCCTTTTTTCTATCTCTCTGATTATTGTTGATTAGAGATAAATTCATCCTTCTCCTAGAACTCCTTTAAGATGAACCATTTCTCAATATCAAACAAACAATACCTGCATCCCCCTTATTGTACTCCTCCTTATCTCTCCACATCTTGGGAATTAATTTACACCTATCACTCTCATTACACTTGGCAGCTACACTGATAATTGTTTTAGACTCACTGGCGACAAAATTACCTATGGTATTCTGATTCTCAATGCACAATGTATAACCACAATAGCCTATAACTAGTTTCTTTATCTGGACTGACTCAGCAACTATATCTCTACCCATAGACATCACTCCTTTAGAGATAGCCTTCGAAATCCTAACATGCTCATTCATTTACTCTCCCACTTCCCCCCAAAAAAAAAGTGAAAGCCCTCCCATCAAAAGGAGAGATAAACTCACCCTTGACCCAAAACATAACCCCCTTGTGATGATTGAGAAGAACTACAATGCAAGAGTTAGTGCAAGGGAGAGCAGTAGACATAGCTACAACAGCAAGACTTACCCCTAATTAACTTCTGGAAAATTAACTGCAACTCTATCATTACTCTTCAAAATAGTGGCAGAAATTTCAGTCGTCCGAATATGAATGGCCTCTCTATGTACCATTCCTTCTTCTCTTCAGTCTCATGACCATTTCATGCAAAAAAAAACTCCCCAATTTCAAAATTAGTCTCCACAACTTGAAGTTGGTATCAGAGTCGTCATCATACTCAGCAATATCTTCCCGCGAACTATCATCCTCCCCGTCACTCTCATCGGAGTCGTTTCCCATACCACTATCTTCGAAGAAACCCACTTCTTCTTCTCGACCCATATTGGCTTGCTTTCCTCGTTCGATTTCATCTCTTTGATTGTCTATAATGCCACGAGATTCATTACATTTGTCTGCCTTGGCTTCATCGATGGACTCGAACCCTTCCTTGTCTCCATATTGACCTCCCTCTTCACTGCCTTCGAAGAGAACAGAAACACTAGCTTCATCTTGCCCTTTTAGCCAAGTCTTTCCCAATTTTGATTGGGTTTCAATCCGGATCAGAGAAGGTATTGTCTTAAAAGACTCTGGCTTCTTCGCATTAAATGGCCCAATCAAAATGCCCTCCAGCCATTGACCTAATTGATTCTCTGACAAAATAGGTACTCCGAATTGGGCTGCAATGAGCTTATATGTAACATCCCATCAACCTTTACTTGCTCAAAACAATATCAAGCTTTAACAAGCAAAGAAGTAGGCGCAGTAGAGCCTTCCTCTGTTAAGCCAACCATTCCTGTATTGCCAGCCATAATACGTGAATTTCCCTTAATTATCCCCATATTAACTGCAGAATCCTAAGACTTAAAATTCAAGTTTGACTTAATGATAGCCAAATCTGCATTACCAGCCTCACTTATCTTCTGATCAACTGGTGGCACTAAATTAGACACTACATTAGGAATTGGATCTTTTGTCAAACCCAAATTAGTTCCAGCTCTTGGTGCACCAAGCAAACCATCCTCCTTGCCTTTCAAGGGGCCACGTGTTCCATTTTTAGAAGCCCTCTCATCTTCAATTGTTTTCCAGTTGGATGGAAATTGCATGCTACCTTGCTGTTGATACATCATCTGGTGCCTGGAAAACAGCTTGCCTAGCCTTGAGAGAACTCAAATTCTAATGATGAACACTTCTCCTAAGAATTCAACTCTTCATGGAAGTTGGAATAAATCCAGTCATTCCCTCGTACTTTAATTTTTGCTTGGAACAAACAGTACATAAACAAAGTATCCCTATGAGTTTCGATATCTTCCTAAACACCCCTTCATCCCATACATGAAATGGCAATCCTTCAAAAGCAATCCGCCCTCCTAAAAACGATACTTTCTCCTTTCCTGCCGTTGTCGTTTGTATCCATTTTGTTAATCTCACTATATAATCTCATTCCAAACAACAGAATTCAGTCTTACAAACCTCTTCAACCTGCTTATAATTCACAGATGAAGACTGCCTTATCAACCTGGAAAGGCTCCAAGGTAATTTTGAACTTTAATTTCTTACACATTGACATGCCAACCCGAATGTACCTCCATGAATCAAAAATTCTCCCTTGTACATACTTCTGCCTTTTTCCATTTTTTGTAAACAGATGAATCCACCTGTGGAATTGAAACAATCCTATATATATTGCATATGATATCGTTTTCAACTCCCCCTGTTTTAAACCATTATTCCACTCACCAAACTACCATCATCGTTCTTGAGAACATCTATCCACTTTCTACCTACACCCCCCTTTATCACCGAACTCAACATGCCCGCCACTTCTTTTCATCCACTATGATGTGCTCCTTGAGGGATCACAATGAACCTTCTCTAACTTGTGCCTTGAATAGAGGAAATTGTTAAGAACACGCCTCGGTTGTTTCTAATCAATTCTACCCATATCTTGTATTTGTTATTACAGTACTGTCTAAAGAACATATCCGAATCCGATCAATTTGCCATTGCTGTAATCACTTTTTGAACCCATGTGAACCCACAAATATCTATTGAGACTGTATTTGCTTCTCTCAATGATCCTGATTCCATCTACCCTGTAATCTTCATCCACCTCAACTAAAATAAGTTTATTTTGAATCTTAACTTGGCCAACATTGATCTTTCGAAACAGTTATCCAAATGCCTCTAGCACAAAATAACAATTAAATTTTGAATACTAATAAAAAACAAACAAGTGCCTAAGCTTGATGGTAATGTCAAATACTAAAATACACCAGATCTGTATAGATGGTCAGAATACCACTGGTTGAAAAATACTGAATATTATAACTGAAGAGCTAAAGTGAAAGAACAAAAAGTTAGAACCATATGGGTTTAAGCAGAACCTTCTAATTCAATACTGTGACATTAATGGTGGGACCCAACAGGCCATTGCTGGGGCCTACATAGATTTTTTCTTGTTTCTTAATCTGCATTTACGTAGTACACACTTATCAAGATCTCAATCTATATCACTGAAACTGAACTCACAGGGATAACATAAATTCGTGTATTTGATCTGATATACTTTTATCCTAAAGAAATCCTCACACTTGGAACAACCTTATGATGAAGACCGAAAAAATAATGAGTAGAGAAAAAGTTCTAAATTGCCAACATGTAAATTTTTGTGAAAGAAAACCTAAATCTCCAAGAAACTTTACTGCAAATACAACAACACTTTAATCAGTCTTTGAGAGGACAATATCCAGACTGAATACTTACCACAACGCAAATGACAAATATCCGGCACTCCAAACTTTTGATCCGGAATGATCAGAAAACATGTACTTAACATCTGCAGCAAATATGTTACAGCAGTTGCCATTGACGGTAACTTGGCTTCTAAGGTCAATGTATGACCTTTCTATCAACAATCCAGCCATGTGCCTTTCTTCTAGTGTTAGAGAAAGAGATTTTTCCGTGGCTTCCCACGGCCAAATCTTTATTATACCACCCTCAGATCCTGACCATAGATCCCCTGGATAAAAGTAAAAGTCAGAAAAACAATAAACAAAATATTCTTTAGATACTGAAAGTTGTTAAAAATTGTTTCCCTTTGTATTTTTAAAACACCTAAATAAATGACAGAAATAATATCTCACAAGATTGGATGATAGAAAGTATCACAGTAGAAATAGGATAGAGATTAAAATGATTTATAACAAAAATTATATATTGGCTAAGTGCTGTCAATTTCAATAATGGACAAAGATATGAAAGATGGCAAGTAAACTTTGTCATCTCTTCTAGATAACCTGCTATAGGCTCATAGCATTCCTCCAGAATCCTTCTTTTCATAAATCAGCCAGCAATGCCACAATTTGAGACAAAAATGACAAGAAAAAAAAAAAAAAAAAAAGCATTATCCTGTTTCATATGGTGCCATGGACATGAATAGTTTAAGTTGAAACTTGAATAATTATATGCTAGGGTTAAGGAAAGAAAGAAAGTATGAAATAATATTGTGTAGGGTGCATGATGCCAACAACCTATCACCTATTTATATTAGATTGATAATAAAGACAATTACAATATTAGGAAAGTAGAACATAATAGGAAAACCACATAATAAAAAACTAGCATGATAGGAAATTGACTTGATAGAAAAGTAGCTCTCTAGCACTCCCCCTCAAGCAAGAGTATGGAGGTTAAACATGCCCAACTTGGAATAAATGCTACTAATGGTACAACGTGCCAGTAGTTTGGTGAGAAAATCACCAAGTAAACCGTAACATCTCCACTTAGACAATAATGATAAAACCAATCTCTGAGTGACTGCTTCAGAATATTCATGGACTTCTTCAATCACTCTACCACAATACTCCCCCTGAGCAATAAATAGAGGTTCTTGCTCCATGTGAAGTCTCAAACATTCCTTTTATTTTCAAGAAAAGCAATGAATGACTGCACCAAAACAAGCAATATCAACTGATGATCATGACACAGAGGAAAAGAACATGATGACGACAAAAGACAAACAAAACACCACCACCACCAACAACAACAATACTGACAGAAACGAACACAATCAACATCACCACAGCGAGCCACAAACACAACAAATTAGACTACAACAATAGCAATCAGGGTAAACCAAGCAGAACTGGAGTTAAATCAGCAAAAAAAAAAAAAAAGTTGTACCAATGCTAAAAACCACAAAACCAATATTGAACTAGAATGAAAACTCTAAAAATGACAATAAATCAAATTGAAAACATTGAGCTGGAATTGAACCAAGATGGAAATCACTAAAACAGAACAAAATTGTGTCGAATTATTGAACCGATACTAAACTAGGTTCAAAAAACTAGACCAAAATTAAACTAGGATAAAAACCACTAAATCAACACCACATTTACCGAAAATCACTGAACCAACACTAAATCGGGCTGAAAACGCTGAACCGAAATTGAACCAAGATGAGAACCACACAACCATCACCAATCTGGCCCAAAAACCACCGAACCGGTACCGAACCCGGCTAAAAACACATAATCGGAATTGAACTGGGATAAAAACCATTAAACCATAATCAAACCGAGCTAAAAACCACTGAACCAGTATAAACCGGATTGAAAACAATGAACTAGAATTCAACCGCGATGAAAACTACTAAAGGAACACCAAACTAAGCTGAAAAACACTAAACCCGTACTAAACCAGACTAAAAACAACTAATTGAAATTGAACCGAATGAAAACCACTAAAAAAGCACCAAACTAGGCATAAAATCACAGAAACTTACACTAAACCGGACCTACAACAACAAAATCCGCACTGATGATCAGACACAGTAGGCATGAAGATTGATTCTGGTACCGCCACAATAACTGATAATGATCACAATAGTCAATAAACAAACATAAACGACTACAAATTGATGTGTGATGGGCCAACCCAACAACTAAGCAAGTGAGTCGATCGCCTAGGGTTGGGCCCCGCTCATCCTAGTATCTTATTGTGATACCAAGTTAAAATTTGAATACTTGTATATTAAGGTTAAGGAGAAGAAAAATAAGAAGAGAGTATTAAAAAATATTGTGTGTATGGTGTATGTTGCCAACATCATATCATCTATTTATCTTAGATTGATAAATGCCGATTTACCCAATAATGTTGGATGTGGTTAACCCTATAATGCCGATCGTGGCGGACATGGAGATTGTGATAATCGTTTTTAGTGAAAGTGTACTTATTATGATGGCACATGACATACTGAAAATTATTCATGAGATAAATATGAGAGATCAGCATATGTTAATCAAGCTTCTAAGGATACTTCGAATTCTCTATTGTATCAAACTTCTAGTGATAGTTTAGTTGCATTTACTTCTGGCTAACAATGGCCTTTCTTCTAAGCTTAGTCAACTCATTCAGTAATTTTCTTCACTTTCTTCACTTTCTCCACTACCTCCTCCTGTTGTCGGTGTTGCTAATAGAGGTAACTCTGCGAGTGTGGTTCTCTAACCTTTCGTCCTCTTAGGTTATTGATTTAGAATTTAGTGCTCATATGTATGGTATTTCTTATGAAAGGTAGATCTGAATTGCCTAAGATTTTTGCTACCTTTTACGATAAAATTTTGGTTCAGTTTGATATACATATTAAAGTTCTTGGGCTGACAATACCTTTGAGGATATTCAATTATTTATGATTACTTTCCTATTGTCTTTTTTGCTCAGAATATTCTAGTATCAAATATTATTATAATTATATTCGATATCAATCTAATGTAAATAGTTGATTGGGTGTAGGTAATACCAACACTCTTGTATCATAATCTCTTCTTCGTCTTTTCTTCCGTCTTCTCTTTTTTTTCCTAAACTATGATATTTAAATATTCAATGTTCACCTATTTGGTAAGGAAACAAAAACCAACATGTGTACTGCACATCAATGAGGCCTATTGCGGATTTGCATCTTTTTAAATAATAACCCATTCGAAAAAAAAATTATCATTCTGGAACAGCGTAAAAACATCCAGGTTCGTAAAGAGCCACACTTCTTTCTGAAAGAATCCGTATAGAGACCAAAAAAATGCTGAGAGAAAAAAATAAAAAGGAATAATCGAATAATTCACAAAATGCATTGATCTTACCGTAAGAAGTCATAACAATGGAAAGAACAGGGCTGCGATGAGCCTGCCATTGAAGGGCCTCTTTAAAAGGAGTTCCATCAAAGCACTGATCCATTTTCCAACACCTAATGCTACCATCCTTGTGCCCACTCCACACAACCCTATTCCCCGAATCCGCAATCAAGCACAGCGTCGACGAAGTACGCACCGATTCATGAAACGGCGCGGCTTCCTCGTCGCCACTTGGGGCCTGTGACGCCTTCGTTTCCATTCCCCGCTCGGACGAATACATTTCCGACAAATTCCAAAGCCTCACTCCGCATTCCGACCCCGCCCACAGTTGTGAGTCATCCGTACAGACAACAGTTCTCAAAAAACACCCAATTTGGGTATCTCTGATCGGTTGTGGCCTCAATTCGAGACTAGGTGGTCGGCCGGGATGAACCGCGGCGCGGACCGGAACTTTGAATATTCCCTTGCCACCGCCGTCGGCTACGAACTCCGGCAGAGCTCGATTGTTATCGGTGCCGGTTTCGTCTGACAACGAGAACTTTCGGTCGAGGAATTGAATCATGTAATCCAGCCGCTTGCCGGCGTTTTTGACAAGACCAGTTTCAGAATTGGCACTGCCGGCGGAGTAGAATTCATCGTCGGAGGATGAATCGTAGAATCTGTCGAATATTTTAGGGGTGCGAGTGGTGCCACTGTCTTCGTCCAGACTGAACTTCCGATTTCTGTTATGGTGTTCTTGTTCATCGTCGTGGTTTGGTGAGACTCTGGATTTTTCACTGTAACAGTGAAAATTTGGGCGTGGTGGAGGGGATGCGGTGAATGATCCTAAAAGATTGCCGTCATCGTCGTCGATCCGACCATCCATGTCGATGTAGTATATCTAAGTTGATCCACGAGAATGTAAGAGGGGGCAGAAATTTAGAGAGAGAGAGAGAGAGAGAGAGAGAGTGGGTCACTGAACAAAATTGGGGTTGAGGTCGCTGGGGAATTTGCGCTTGATTTAGCCAACTGTCATTTATTTATTTTTTTAGGCTAATCTCAAATTGAAATTTAGAAGATGACTCAAATTTTAATTTATATTTTTAAAATTTAAAAATATTAATTTATATTTTAAAATATATAAATTTATTAACAATTATTCGTACCTAAAGACATGATGTAACAAACAAAAACATTGCAAACAAATACATGTGCATTAAAAGATGTATGCCATAAAAAATTGCCAATTAAAAAAATTAAGAAAAAAACATTAATAATATAATATGGGCCCATTATTTAAAAAAAAAATTGATAAAATACAAATCAAAACAATCTCAGATATTGTTCAACGACCGTTTAATTATTGATAATTGATATTCAAATGATAGTAAATTTAAAAATTATTGTGGTATGAACACAATCAAATAAATATGAAATAGAAAACAAGAAATGTGGATTAAGAGATGAATTGAAACAAAAAATATAAAAAACAACATCAACAAAACATAAATCAATTAAAACTAAATTTTCAACACTATCGGATTAAATTACACTTTTTGTCCTCATAGTATGTTGGTAGTTTAGAGAATATTCGTGCCTCTAAATATAATATTTTTTTCTATTCACTACAAAAAAAGGCATATATATTTTTTTTTACGTCGTGAAGGTAATCTATAATATGGGCAATTGCATATTACACTTTTTTTTTTCTCTTGGATGTGTATTCTTTAATGATGGTCATCTATAGTCTTTCGTGTTAAACCTCCCTTAGCAATGCTAAAAGTGCTGCAATACATTTTTCTAAGAGTACAAAGTGTAATACATTGCTATTAGAAATTAGAATGACCATTTGGTTGGTTACCACTTAATCTAAACCTTTGATAATAAGTGTTGAAGTTTTGTTTCTTATGTTACATAAAATGAAAAGAAGTTTGAAAATAAGATCTAGACATTACCAAGTCTATATTTTTTATGATGACATTTTTGCCCAAATTTTTATTATTTTATGTGATTTGAAATTAGAGAGTTGTGACAGCTATTATGGTGTTTAATTTTTGTCAGGATAGTTATCTCTGCGACATCTTTATGAGAATAGAAGACCGTATTCAAAGAACCAGAATTAATCCAAAAGCACTGAGTACATTTATTTGTCCGTCATGAAGTTTGCTTTAGATCTTCTCATGGTTATGGAGGGAACAAAGACCAATAGTTTATTATTAATTTTTTATTTTGTTGCTTGAAGAAATTTTTTTTATTGCCTTTTTTTTGAAGTATTCGTCGGATTGTTTAAAATTTTCTAATAATTCCATAAGTTTTTGTTTTTATAATTAAACTATGATTGAATTTCAATTTGTTTCGAATGATATTGAAAAAATATGATATTTTAATTACAGGTCAATTTATACATGTTTTATGAAAGTTGTTACGAATTATTATGTGAGTGACAACCACTAAAGTCGTCACTATAGAGTTTTTTAGTGACTACTATAAAATTTGTCCCAAAAATACTTAAAATTTTATACTGACAACAAAAATTATGGTCACTAAATAAGTCATTAGTGAAGATTATAAAGTTGGTCATTGAAAGTAAACAAAAATTGTTAGTGACAATCAAAACATTGTCACTACCACCGATAATTTAGTAGCAATAAAACTTTATCCTAATTAGGGATGAAAGTTTGAAATTGTCACTAAACATATTAGTGACAACAAAAAATTCGATCACTAATAATTGATGGATACTAATTAGTGTCAATATATTCTGACACTAATATTTTTTTTTTGGGCTGAAAATAGTTTTTTAAGTGACAAAAATATACATTTTAGTGATGAAAGTTTAAAAAATTAGTAGCGACAAATTTTGTCGTTATTGAGAGTGATTCAGTGATGATATAGAATTGTCACTAAATGTCTAGATTATTTGTGGCAACTTCTATAGCTTGTCACTATTAATTTTTAGTGACACATCTATAGTTACAACCAAGTGGCAATTTTTTTTTCGCCCTTAAATACTTTTGTGACAAATTTAAGAGTTTTAGTGATGATTTTTCCTGCCACTAAAGTTGATGTTTTTTGTAGTGATTATTTCTTATTCTTTGGGATCTATTGATCGTTTATTTGTAGGACTTTAACCTATTTTTCTATGCCATTTTATTTGGTAGTAGAAATAAAGAAATAATTCTAAGATTCAATTATTTTTAAAGAAAGCGGAGTAAATGATATAGTGTCATCATTATATTGAATATTCTCAAGCTGTTATATGAAAAAGTGTTTTCTCTGATATGAAAATGATATTATTTAGAGCAACATGAGCGGGAGTCAAAATTTAAATATGGACGTTAATTTTAAATTTAGATGACATTGATTTTTGGCAAGATTGAGAGGCGAATTCTGTTGGAATTTAACTCGATTTAAATCCACTAACAAACACACACAATCGAAGAACAAATCAAGAATATAAAGCAATAAGAAACAAGAAAGAACAAGACACAGATTTTACGTGGTTCGACAATTTGCCTACGTCCACGAAACTGCAGGGATTTCACTATTGAGAGAGTTGAATTACAGAGAGCGGCTGTACAATCCACAACAAACGCTAATCACCAAAACAACAGGGTTTATATGTCCTACGCACTGGGCTGTATAGGTCCTACGCACGCTAATCGTTCCAAGCCTTCGCTCCGTGGACTAAGCCTCAGAAAATTTTTCATTAAAAACCACACAACATTACTTCGGGTCGGGTCATCATCCGGATCACATATACAAACTAGACTCCATAAAAAAAACCAACAAATTCAATGTAGGGGTGTCAATTTTGGAAACTAAAAATTTTGAGGGGCAAAAATATTTTAAGATTTAATGTGGTACGTTGAATCAAAATGATCTGAGTCGTCAATAGCTTGAGACAGTTTGAGATAGATTCATCCGTTAGATGATGTCTTTTTTGGTCACGAAACGATCTCAACCGCCCTTTGTCTCTTGAATTTGAAATCATTTTAATTTATTATATAGATATCAATATGCACCGATAGTTAACTGTCATTCATTTTGCCTTTAAAAAAGTTTGAGTTAACTATCTTCAAAACTTAAATATTTCACATTTATAATCCAAAAAAAAAAAAATTCATCCATTAATTCTCGTTAAATACTTCTCAATTTTGTTGTGTCGTGTTGGAGTTAATAAAAAAACTTGATACATTGTGTCGAGTCAATTGTGTTGTGTCGTATATTTCACATATACAATCATTCATATAATAATATTTAAAATTTGTTAAAAATTATAAAATACCAATTTTTTGCGTATAATACTCGTTAAATAGCTATTTTATATCTAAAATTAGACATGAATTTTTTGACTATCCGATCAAATTAAAGTTAGATACGAAGAACACGATTTAACGGATATTGTAGATTAAAAATAACTATTTAACGAGTATTGTAGGGTAAAAAATAAGTATTTTATAATTTTTTAAAAAAATTATAAAATTTTAGTGACTTAAACAGGATACAAAAATGATACCACACGACACAATTGAGAACTATTTAATGAGCATTAATGGATAAAATTATGTTTGGATCGTAAACGTGAAATATTTAAATTTTGAGGGTACAATTTATAATTAGTCCAAAATTTTTTAACGGCAAAATGAACGGCAGTTAGCTTCAGGTACATATTGATACGAATTTATGTCTTTTAGGGTATAAGTTGATTTTTTAAACTTTGAGGGTGTAAATTGAGATTTAAATGATATTTCGGAATGTAAGTTGAGATTAACTCTTTTTTAAAATTACATCAATGGTCCATGAGTTTTGACATCAGTTATACTTTGGTACTTAAAATTTTAAGTTGATCAACATGATCTTTAAAGTTCATACATTTAGCTAATAAGGTACTTGGCTTTAACTCCCATAAAAAAAATAATAAAAAAATATCATGTACCCGACACATGAGAGTATTAATGGACATTTCCGGCATTTTGTCATAATTTCTACATCTAAACATCACTATACCTCATTTGGACTTTGTTAAATGTGCGGGATGATTTTTGCACAACAAATGAGATGACAGATCTCTTCATTGTTAAGCTCGTGTCCGCTTAGAATGTCATTTCAATGAAGAGCCTTGAGTACCCCACTGCGAACGATAGTGGAGTTGCGAATAAGCCTTTAGGGAAGTGGGATTACAAATAGTGTTGAACCCTCTACAAACAATCAACTCACAGATAAACTCTCGACGTTGTCCTGTCACTCGAGAAAGAAGAGTTAGAAGGATGTCGGAGTGTTCTCTAGCGTGACCCCTCTAACGCTCAAGTCAGTATTTGAGGAATGGTTTGAGAACATTATTCAATTGCTTGGGATAGGGATTACATACCTTAGCTTTGAGCTTAAGGGTGTTATTTATACCTCCAGGAGTTGATTGAGGTGGACAATCGGGTCCCTTAGAGGGAAAACACTTGGTTGGTTCATACAGGGGACAACATATGGTGCGTAGACCTTGATCAAAGCGCCTACTTTTCTCTACACTAGGGGCATCTGCAAATCCATACTCGGGTCCCCAAGTACTTAATGCACACTTCTCAGCTCTGCCAAGCAATGAATACATCTCATACTTCTGTAGAATTATTTAATGCACTTTGAGCATGGCCACGCACGTGCAGGGGCATTTTTGCCAATCCTCCCTTTGTGGGGTTAGGAATTAATTGTTTCATACACCTACACCTCTATCATTAGTCATTGAAATACGTTTCTAATCATTCTGATTGTCTTGGAAATGGGACCAATGACTGGTAGTCAACTTTGCTTCGAAGCCATAATGCTCAGAGGTTGCTTTATCTCGTTCATGGGTGTTCTTGTTTCAACCAATTTCCCTTTTTTTGAGATCGATGC